CGGTCACGTGATAACATAATACGTCCCCGTCTTCGACGGGCGTATAAAAACATGTAGTCAGAAGTCAAAATGTATCAATAGAAATGTCAATGATAAAGTATCAATATCAATGGTCTGGTAATAAGGTCAATGATTCAGTACTGATTTATAGATTCAATGGAGCAATCTTAACTTCAATGGTAGTGTTAATGTAAACTTGATACAACAGGGATAAAAATTTGAGGCATATAAGAGATAAAAACATATTGAACTTCAAAACTATTGTTATTAAACTAATTGCAAAGAAAAGACAATTAAGAGATGACGTACCCATGGATGGCTTTGGCTGCTAAAGGTATACACTGTATCGCTTTTACCACAGGGATGCCTTCATATACCTGCCTCAAGTTAAGGTTACGTATAACTGTATACATTTGGTGTGGGAACGACATGTTGAACAAAAAAAACACTTTTCCCTGTTACTCAATATAGTTCTGAATTATCTGTTTATCATTTTGTTATATTGCTTTTACCAAACTATTTCTGTTTTTTAAATAACAAAGACAAAATTCTCCTTAATAAATGTACTTGCTGTGTAAAAAGCACTCGCTAATAATGTGTGAACAAGTATGATATAAAATGTATGTTCACTTGTCTTGTGATATAACATGACTTTGAGGATGTTTTATCTGCTCAGTGTATTAAAAGCTTTACTGTGCTAAGATAAGGATACAGGAATGACAAGTGTTTCTGTGAAGCCGATGTCCATCACTAGACCAGTAGTGGACCCAAGGGTCAGCAGCGACATGACATGACCAGATGCAAACATCACTGTGGCAACCTAAAACAGAAAAAGCTGCATTGTTTTACTCCAATAATAATACAAAGTAACATTTTTTGACATAACCAGATGACTGTCTTGCACGTTACAACAAGCGATCCAAGATAGGTCTTGGCGCTCACCATTGTACCATCTTTATTGGTTTTATGTAAAATTGATGTCTTTATTCTCTTCTTTTCTATTATCAATTGGATTGAGTTATTCAACAGTAAATGCACCTTGAGCTAAGTTTGATTAAAACCTCCTACTACTGTGTATGACATTGCTTTTACAGGGGGTATTTACTAGTAAGGACTAATGTGTAACTAAGAGAACCTAAATTAGAAAGAAATATCTGTCTAGTACTTCTTTGCAAATAGTGATAACAAACTGGAATTGTGGAAATCCCAAATGGTTGTCTGGCAACCATTTCATTTTTCTGATCACATTCAAAATGAAACATGAAAACTAAGGACCTATGAAATCTGTACAGTACTTCTTGAGAAATAGGGATAACAAAATTGAATTATCGAAAAATGAAACATCCACAACGACGGACCATTGAAAACAAAAATGTGAAATTTGAGAAAGATCCCTCCAGTTCTTATAGAGAAATAGCCCCAACAAATGTCAGCTTTAACATTTCAAGACAACCTCCTGTCAGCCATTTTTGTTTTCCAATCAATCCCAAAAGTCAATATGCATAGCTAAGGACCATGGGAAACAAACATGTGAAAATTGGGAAACATACATGTGAAAATTGGGAAACATACATGTGAAAATTGGGAAACATACATGTGAAAATCATACATGTGAAATTGGGAAACATACATGTGAAAATTGGGAAACATACATGTTTGGGAAACATACATGTGAAAATTGGGAAACATACATGTGAAAATTGAAAAAGATCCCTCTTGCACTATCTAAGAAATAACGCTACTTATCTTTATTTCTCAACATTTGAACAGGAAACCACCTGATGATAGTGAGCTAATGAAAAAATGATCAAGGGTTTGATAGTAAAAAAACACACCTCATAGTGAATAAAAAGAACTTTTGCCAATGCTTCTCTGAAGATGATAGGACAAAGTAGGGACTCGCATACCACTACTCGTTTGTTCTTTGGACTCAGCAACAAATGTCTACAAAATACAGAATACAAAACATTACAATATTAGCTGTTCACCGAAAAATCAATAAATTCCAAGAGTTCTTTTCCTTGAAAGCCTGCCCAGTTTTGGTAAATGCACCAATAAGAAAATCATCTTGGCCATTATCTCATTAATTCTGTAAATTCCAAAATAAGTAACCTGCATAAATATATGAAAGAGAAAAGATTTTAGACATTATACAATCAGATAATGTATAATATAGAGAATAATACATGCCTTTTTCCATATCACACCCAGTATCAACCCGAGACTGCAATATCAGCCCAAGGGCCGAAGGCCCGCGGGCTGATATTGGTCGAGGGTTGATCCTGGGTGTGATATGGAAAAAGGCGTGTTTTATTCTGTTTATTACATACTTACTAATAAAAACTACTATCTTTTGATTTATTTTCATTTTTGAAATATTGAAAAACAATTTTTTTTCCAAATGGGGCGTGATATGGGTTTTGCGGGCTGATATGGGTTTTGGGGTGCGATACGGCGGGGGGGGGGATGGGGTTTGGGGGGTGGTACGGCGAGGGGTGATATGGGGTAGAGCAATTGTGTCGTATCGCATATACAAAAAACCCGTATTTATTAGTAAGTATGTAATAAATATGAATATTTACAAACAATCATATGACATTGTCAACTAATTAAAGAATAACTTTTAGCTGCTGAGATAATGTAGATTTATGTGACAAAGCAAAAGGTCTCAATGTTGGCAGGAGCTAATATCAATATAGAAAGCATATATATGTACACAGGTGCCAAAAAAATTGTAGTACTTTTAAAGCTGTGTTCCGATATTGAAGTTTATATGAACAAGATTAGGAATGATACTGACCGATGTAAGTGAGCAGAAATATCTTATCTATATTTTACCTGAAATACAGGACAAAAAGGAAATCTTTGATATTCTCATATAGCTCATCTTCCTTTTCAAAGTCCCATAGCTTGACAATCTGAAAATACAAAGTGTTATTACCATACTCACCATATATATATAATACATGTGATTTTAAATACCGGTACCCATTGAAGTGTTATTATTATACCATAATAACTGTATAAAATGCCCCTAAGTATAATCTGCAACACAACCTATATTGTAAATCTTAATTAAACACAAGTATAATCTGCAACACAACCTATATTGTAAATCTTAATTAAACACAAAAGGGATTTATTTTTTTACAAATTTTATTATGTACTACACCATGATTACATTTACAGTTTATGTATACGTAGTTCTCCTAAGAACAACAGTGTTTCTTGTTTTTGCACACAGTGAGAGCATGCAGGAGTCATTTTCAAGTTCTCAGAAGTAGTGAGTAAGAGCACGGACTCAGATACATGGGTGGGAGGAATGGGTTCAGTTAGTCTGTATCATCAAGTTTTGTGTTTGCACATCTCACGGGCGGATACACAAATTTATTAAGGATGTTGCCCAAAGTAAAAAAAACCAACTCAAATTTAGCCATATTTTCACTCCAAGGAAAGTCTTTATCCTATTTTCTGGCATCATATTATAGGGATTAATATATATTATAATAAGGTATATGTCGCTATTATAAGGGACACCCGGGCATTAAGTTTGGCCCCTGTGCGTATATATACATATGGGTCTAAGAAGTAATATAGACGGTAAAATCCCATATAACACTGGATCCTAATAGAGGTATGTCCAGAACTGATTAAAATCAAGTTATATGTGGAACTCAATATATGAAACCATATCAAAATTAATCTAATTTTTTATTGGAAAACTTATTAAGATGTTTAAATGCCCGGTACTGTAGTCCAGTTGTATGGCTACAGTATTATGTATTGTATATATAATTGCTGTGTTCACACATGCATTTATACCATTGCATTGTACTCTGCTGTATCAAAAAGACCATAGAGAAATAAAGATTAATATTTTGTTGTACAATACCTTTCCTGATTTGGCATTTTTTATTTCACTAGGAATAATGCATCTCGGTCCGGTTTCTCCAGCTAAGCCGCATCTAAAATTAAAGATAACCTGTTACTTTATTATTCACTACTATTGTTGTACTTGATATCACGCATGTGTACATAAAAAGTCCTTGATCGTAAGCTGCAATAAAGGCATACAGTACACCCCCC